TCATCTTTGATTTCTTTGAGCAGTGTTTTGTAGTTTTCATTGTAAAGGTCTTTCACTTCTCTGGTTAGGAAGATACTTAGGTATTTCATTTTGTGTGTGTGTGGTTATTGTGAATGGGATTGTGCTTTTTATTTGGTTCTCTGCCCATTTGTTGTTGGTGTATAGCAATGTTACTGTCTTTTTCATGTTGATTTTGTACCCTGAGACTTTGCCAAAGTCCTTTTTCAGTGCAAGGTTTTTGACAGATTCTCTTAGATTTTTGAAGTGTAGAATCATATCATCAGCAAAGAGGGATAGCTTGACTTCCTCTTTCTATACTTGGATACCCCTGATTTCCTTCTCTTATCTGATTGTTCTAGCTAGGACTTCCAGCACTATGTTGAACAAGAATGGTGAAAGTGGGCAGCCTTGTCTTGTTCTGGTTTTCAGGGGAAAAGCTTCCAATTTTTGTCCATTTAGCTATATGTTAGCTGTGGGTTTATCATAGATGGCTCTTACTATCTTGAGATATGATCCTTCTATGCCTAGGTGTTCAAAGGTTTTTATCAAGAAGGGATGCTGGATTTTATTGAAAGCTTTTTCTGCATCTAATGATATAACCATGTGATTTCTATTTTTACATTTGTTGATGTATTTAATTACATTTATGGTCTTGCAGATGTTGAACCAGCTCTGCATCTCAGAGATGAAGCCTCTTTGGTCGTGGTGGATGATTTTTGAGATGTGTTGTTAGATCCAATTTGCTAGAATCTTGTTGAATATTTTTGTATCTATGTTCACCAGGGATATTGGCCTGTAGCTCTCTTTCTTTGTTGGATCTTTACCTGGTTTGGTATCAGTGTGATGTTAGCATCATAAAATGATTTGGGGAGAGTTCTGTCTTGATTGCTTGGAAAATTTCCAATAGGATTGGTATCAGCTTCTCCTTGTATATTTTGTAGATCTCTGCTGGAAAGCCCTCTGGTTCAGGGCTTTTTTTTTTTGTGGGTAGTTTTCTTATGATGGCATCTATTTACTATGTTGTTATTATTGGTCTATTTAATGGCTCAATTTCTTCTTGTTTCAACCTTGGGAGGTTGTGTGATGTTAGAAAGTCCTCCATTTCATTTAGGTTTTCAAGTTTGTTTCTTTACAGGTGTGCATAGTAATCTCTGGTACTCTTTTGTATTTCTTCAGAGTCCGTTGTGATTTGATCTTTTGCATTTCTGATTGTGTTTATTTGGGTTTTTTCTCTCTTTTTCTTGGTCAGTCTGCCTAGGGGCTCATTAATCTTATTTATATTTTCAAAGAAACAGATATCTGTTTCGTTGATTTTTTGAATAATGTTTTTGTCTTTTATGTCCTGTGTTTGGGCTTTTACTTTAGTGATCTGAATTCTTCTGCTGAAGTTAGGGTTTTAGTGGTCTTGTCTTTCCAGCTCCCTTAGGTGATTTGTTAGGTTGTTAACTTGTGATCTTTCCATTTTCTTGACGTATGTTCATAAAGAAATAAATTCCCTTCTCAGTACTGCTTTCATGGTATCCCAGAGGTTTTATTTTCATTTGTTTCCGGAAATCTTTTAATTTCTGCTTTGATTTCTGTGTTGACCCAGGAGTTGTTAAGCATCATGCTGTTTAGTGTCTATGTCTCTGTGGGTTTGGGAGTAGCTTTGTTGGTGTGGATATTTATTTTTATTCCACTATGGTCTGAGAAGGTGCATGGGAGTATTTCAATCTTATGGAAATTGTTTAGGCTTGATTTATGGCTGAGGGTGTGATCGATCTTGGAGTATGTTATGTGGTGATGAGTAGAATGTATTTTCTGTGGTTGTTGGGTAGAGTGTTCTGTAGGTACCTATTAAGTCCATTTGGTCATGTGTCAAGTCAAGGTTCTGGATCTCCTTGTTGATTTTTTGCCTTGATGATCTATCTATCTAGGGTTGTTAGTGGGGTATTTAAGTCTCCAGCTATGATAGTGTTTGAGACAATGTCTTTTTTTAGTTTACCTAAAAGTTGCTTTATAAAGATTGGTGCTCCTATGTTGGGTGCATATATGCTTAGGATGGATATTTCTTGTTGATGAACTGAACCTTTTATCATTATGTAGTGACCTTCTGTATCTTTGAAATTTTTGACAACTTAAAAGGATATTTTGTCTGACATTAGGGTCACGACTCCTGCTTTCTTTTGTGTTCAGTTCACTTGATAAATTGTTTTTCATCCTTTTACTTTGAGTCTGCGAGTGTCCATTCTGGTGAAATAAGTGCTTGCTGTTTAAACCACCCAGTTTCTAGTGCTTTGTTACAGCAGCCCAAATTGACTGAAGCAGTTGACACCCTGGCTGTGACACTCTACTACAGTTTTGCAAGATGTCAGTGCTACCATTCAGGGAAACTGGTACAGGGCCCATGGGATCACAAACTTCAGTTCCGCCCCTTTCTCCATCTGTGGCCTTGGACAAGTCACTTCTACTATTTGACTCTCAGTGTCCTTATTTGTAAAATGAAGGTAAAATAAAAGTCACTTATAGCCGAAAGGCAACGAGAGGATGTCATATCCAAACTGATGGGGTGCAGACAAAATTGTATTCAGAGGGAAATGCATAGTCTTGAATGCCCTTGTGAGAATACAAGGCTGATTAAATATAAATCACCTAAAATTCCAATTTAAGATACTAGAAATATAGCAAAATAAATTAAAAGAAAGTGGAAGGAGAACTTGAGATAAAAGCAGAAATTGATGAGCTTGAAATGGAGATAATCCCTACAACACAGAGTTGTGGCAAGAATTAAATAAGACCCGTCATTCAGCCACTCAGGGAAAATGCATTGCATATACTGGAATGTGTTAGGACTTGTGTGCTAAGTCCTCGGGGCAAAGCAGTGAACAAAGCACCGAGGGTTTCTGCCATGAAGGTGGTACTGAGATCTCTGGCGCAAGAGCAGCTGTGCCGAGGTGGAGGAGAGGCCAGCGTTCCGGGCCTTGGGTGAGCGCGCCCAACAGCCCTTGAGGGAGGGCTACTGCTCCTCCACTTTCCAGCTGAGGAGACTGAGGCTCAGAGAGGTTCATTAGCTTGCCTCAGCTCTTGCAGCAAGCAAGTGAAGTTGAGACTGAAGCAGCGGCTTCGCCTGGGCTTCCTAACACACAGGGCCAGAGCGAGGCCTCCTGGGAGGTGGGACTCGGGCAGCCAGAACACAGGAAGAGAGGCAGAAAGGACAGGCAGCACGCAGAGCAAGGTATTCAAGGGCCTGCCACGGAAACGTGTCTTCCTGAGCTCATGTAGCCCGGTGCTGGGTCACCTGGGGTGGCAGATGCAGATTTTTTGAACAGGGCATTTGTCTGTGACTCCTTCCAAGCTCTTGACTGCCAATGTTCTTTGTTTGCTCCCAGGGTTGCTGTGACCCATCCCCTCCAGGAAGCCACCGGGGAAGCCTGTTCTAAGCCTGGTGGAAGTCACCAGAGCCTCTCTCAGATGGGCTTGGACCTGAATGCCAGCTGCTGCCACTTGGCAGGCTCCACGGAGGCTGTCCTGAAGGCTGTTCTTCACCCAGGGGAAACTGAGACAGCTGAGGTAGAAGAAGAGGCAAAGGCAGAAGCTGGGCAGGAGAGGAGAGGTGAGTGGGAGTCAGTCTGGGAAGATGCATTGTCTGGGCTTGGCGCACCGGGCCATCTGGTTCTGGCACTTGCACACAGGAGGCCAGAGCTGAGGCTAGGAGGGTGGGCAGGAGCCAAGGCCCAAGGCCTCCCTGACTGACTGTGATGTGGAGCTTTGTCTGCAGGGCAGTGGGGAGCGTGGAGGACTCTGAGTGCCTGGAAGCATGGCTGGCACCAAGAGCAACCTGGAAAACCCTGGATCCCCCTGGCAGGTGTGGGCCCAGTGACCTCTGACTGGTGGGGAACTGGGGTTGCCCTGTCACCCCCCACCCCACCTGTCCCAGCCTGGTCCAGAGGCTGGCAGCTGGGCGCTACCCATGACGAGTGCAGCGCGCACCCTTCAGCGTGACATTGGAGCGTCGCTGGGGGAACGGAGGGTGACGGAGCGCCATCCCAGGCGGTAATGGCTCCAGCGCCGGGAGGAAAATGACATAAATAATATCCCATTAGAGGCGCCGCGCTGCTCTGCTGAGTGCCTTGTTTTGCTGGCAACATTATGGGCTTCATAAACAGACTCATTTATTTTCCAGTCCTTGCTCTGGCTGAGAGGGGGTGGGGGGATGGGGGGGGGAAGGTGATGAGGGCGGTGGAGTCAACAAGGGGCAGGGACTGTGGGACTCACGTCTGCCGGCGGCCCAGGCCACAGTCAGCCCCTCTGGGCCCCGGCTCACGGCCTCCGGGGCAGGCCCCCAGGCCTCGGCCTCACCCTGCCTCCAGGCCTGGCCCACGCTCCCTCCCTCCATCTGGAATGCTCTCCCAGTGTCCTTAGAAACCACGCCACTTCCTTAAGGCTGACCCAATGCTCTTGTTCCCTGAGGCTTCCTTAAACCCCCACCGGCACATGACCTCGGGGCCCCTGGAGGACATTCTGGGGACAGACAGATCACCTTTCACAGGAGAACCCTGAGGTTGAAGAGGGCTGAGGCGTCCACACATTCAAATCCCGACCTGGCAGTCCCATGCCTGGTGGCCTGCGGAAGCCCTCGGCCCTCTTCAACCTCAGGGTCCTCCTGTGGCAGGTGGCTGGTGGTATCTTACCGACTCGCCATGAGAAGTCTCTTTGAGGCTTGTCTGGAACACAGTTGCTTTCCACAAATGATCGTTCTCCGTGTCCCCTGTGCTTTGGACGTAGAAATGTCATTCTCCTCTCTCCAAAGGGTCAGGTGATTGCCCTAATTCCGTCCTTCTGGAAGCGAGTCTTGGGCTTTGTGTCTGGCAGGGGCCAAGGCAGGTTTGCGGCTACAGCCAGAGGAGCTCTGGTCAGGATGTGGAGCTCTGGGCCTTGTCCAACTTGCATAGTGATGAGCTGTGTGATCTGGGCGAGTCTCCTCCCCTCTGTGGGCCTCCCTTCCACCAAGGGTTAAACAAAAGGACATTTGTGGTAGCTCTCAGCCCTGCTTCCAGGATCCCAGAAGGCTTCTACCTGTCTTCTACCTGTCAGGAGCTGCCCTCTGACTTCAGGGTCAGAGATAATTCAGGCTCAGATGCTGCTCTGCTGTGTGGCTTTGGGCGCAAACTGAACATCTCTGAGTCTCAGCTTCTGTGTCTGGAAAAGAAGGATAATAAAGCCCACTTCACGGGGTGGTTATAATAATTTAATGAAATTATGAAATCGTGGTATTTACTGAACATCTCTTATGTGCCAGACACTATTGACTGCTGGGAACGCAGTGGGGGGACAAGATTCTTCCCCCTTTTGCAGAGCTTATATATTAGAGAGAGAGAGAAAGAGAATCGGCCATCACATAAGAAAACTGCATAAGTGCCAGCTGTGATGTGTTATAAAGAAAAAAGCAAAAAGGAGCTACAGGGTCCTGTAGTGCTCTTGGTTAGGGAGGGCTTCCCTGAGGAGGTGACGCCTAAGCTGAGAGCGTGGCTATACAACAAACGAAACCCAGTGGCTTTCAACCACAGTAGTTTGACTGGTGCTCATGGTGTCTGTGGACTGGGGATTCAAAAGGGCTCTGCCGAGCGGCTCTGCCTCAGAAGATGGGGGGCTGGAGCCTCAGGGGCTGCAGGACACCTCCTTCCCTCTCTGCGGGTGTCTCAGGGCTCCTCCACGGAGTCTCTCTGAGCTGTGAATTTGAATAACAGAGTATAGGCTGCAGGAAAGAAAGCAGGGAGGCTGTAGCTTCACCCAGGCAGAGATGCTGGTAGCCTGAACCTGGGAGGTTGCCAGGAGGTGATAGTGACAAACGGACAGGACGACAATAAACCGGGAGGCCAAGCCGACAGAAACAAGTGATCAGACAAGGAGCAAGAGGAGAAAGAGACAAAAGTGACTCCCAGGTTTCTGGCAAAGCTTAATCTTGTTTGACAGCTCAGAGAGGTTAAGTGACTAGCCCATGGCCACACAGCACATTTGTGGTACCACCAGGAAGAGAAGCCAGGCATTGTGCCCAGAATTCACTGCTACCCTCTGGGCCAGTCCCGACTTGGAGATGTTGCTGCAACCAGGTGCTTGGTCCTCTTCTCTCTGTCTCTTCCGCCCTCCCCTCCCACGCTCTCCCCTCCTTCCTCCCAGGATACGGGCTGCTGTGGTTGACGAGGCCCAGCAGGTGTGCCTCGCTGAGCTGTCGGCGTGATGAACGGCTTCCCTTGGCTGAGCAGATAACGGTACACACACAGGTCAGGGGGGGCCGTGTAGCCCATCCATCAGGCCCAGGAGTGGGCGGAGGGCCGACACACCCTCGAGCCTGCTATCTGCCACAAATATGTTTCCCCCCCAAGGTGAACAGGAAGAGTGACGGCTGGCGCCTGACATCAGCAGGGCTGGTGCTCACCAGAGCCAACATGGCCCTCCCCAGGCCCCAGCCTCCTGTGCCTTCCCTGGGAGCCGGGTCCAGCCTCTGGGGTGTGGAGCCACGGAGGGCCACAGAACCGCAGGCTCTTCGAGCCTGGAGTGCTGACTCTCCCAAACAGAGGGCAGAGCCCTCGATTCCTTGAGGTGGGGTCATGCCGTGGTGAGAAGCAGGGACTCTGGACCCTGCTTAGCCTGCTCGGGTTCAAGTCCGGGTTCTACCACTTAATAGCGGCGTTGTCTCACAAAGCAAACACGTTGCGAGGACGGCAAGAGTGTCTACACCATGGTGGCGGGGGGCCCCAGAGGAGACATCTTTGTGAAGTGCTGAGAACTATGCCCAGTGCATTAGTAGAAATACAGAGTTTTTCAATTCAGGGTCTTCAGTTCTGAGTCCTTGAGACAGAGAACCTGAAGCCTTTGACTCTTCTCAGGGCCGCAGACTTCCAGCATCTTGCTAGTGTAGATCTCAGTCACCCCTGCAGGGGGCGTGCTGAGGAGTGGCCTAGCTGGGCGTCAGCTCTGCAGTCTCCATCGCCTCTTCCCCACGCTTCACTGGGATGGCTGCTAGTTTCTCAGCCTTATGTTCAGTGTCCTGGAAACCCAGCGACCAGCTGCCCACTGGCCAGAGGGTTGCCCCACATAGGAATGCTCACCACACATTGCTCAGCACCTCAGTCTGCTCACATCCATTCATCTAGCTATCCACCCAGACCATCCGTCCCTCCGTCCACCTAACCGTCCATCCTCCCATCCATGTATCTATCCACTGTTCCATTCACTACACCCTCATGTTCACCAGCCAGTCTGCGGTCTACCCATCGATATGGATTTTCTCATCCATCCATCCATCCATCCATCCATCCATCCATCCATCCTTCTGCTATCCATCCATCTTCTCATCCACCCATTGATTCATCTTCCCATCATCCATGTATCCATCCGTCCATATTTGTCCATTCCCCTCCTTCCCATCGACCATTGCCCCCTCCCTTCCTCCCTTCCTTCCTCCCTTCTCCCTTTCTACTTTTCTTCCTTTCTTCCTTCCTTCTTCATTTTCTTATCCATTGATCTATCCATTTATTCAACACTTATTATCTGTCACATACAAGGTACTGGGCCGGGCTGTCAAGGAAGGTGTATGCATTGGTTTCAACTTCTACTCTCCCCGAGCTTCCAGTCTGGCAGGCCAGAGGAGACACGAACACAGCCCAGCCAACACAAGACTGTCCTGATTTGGCAGAGATAAAAAACCATGCAGAGTGACAGAGAGAATTCTCATTTCTGATGGTGCCTCTAGGACAGCTTCGTAGGGAAGGTGGTATTTGATCAGGATCTTGAAACCCTGTCTTGATGACATCACAGGTGGCTTGATGTTTTGGGGGACTGGGAGGAGAAGGGTGGGGAGCCTCAGGCACCATCTAGTCAACTGGATGACCAGGGCTAGGAGGTTCCCTTTAAATACCCTGTGAAGGGTTGGTGCAAGGCCTGCTTGCCTGCCTCCTGGGCTGAGAGGCTCACTACAAGACAAGGAGAAAGGCCTTGAGACCGCCACCATGCTCCAGGAACTTAAAGGCATGAGGGGCTCTGTCCAATCTTCCCGACTCCCAGGGATTGCCTATGACTGTTGTCTGTGGTGGGAGGGTGTTCTGGACCCAGTGTGTCTGGCTCACATCTCAGTTTCTCATTTACTAAATGTGTGGCCTGGGACAGGTCAATCCACTTCCCTGAGACTCAGTTTACTCATCCGCAGGATGGGGATGGTGATCAGAGACCTCTCATTGGATTGTTACAAGGATTAAATGAGCTCAGACAGTCATGGTGCTTAGTAGGAGTTCGTTACTATTTCAGGAGATTCTATCAGGGCCACACAGGGCAGCTCAGGGGACAGCATCAACACAGGGAAACAGGGACAGTGCTTGGGAAGAGGGGAAAGGGGACACTTTGGCAGAGTTGGAAGTGCAGCCACTGACAGACTGTCAACACCAGGAAGATTCTATGGACCATGTCCCCCCACCTCACATTCCGAGGAACCATTGAGGGACTGGTGGGCTCCACACATGCGAACGAGATGCTGTGGGGTAAGAACCCAAAGAGAGAAAGCGATATGGCCAGTGCCTGGGACTGCAGAAGGAGCTGGAGCCACAGCGAGAGGGGCTGCCAACGGCAGGATGAGAAGCCACGTAGGAGAGCCTAAGCTAAGCCTCCCCTCCTCCTGCCCTCTGGTCTCTGTGGCCTGGGGGTCTGGGGAAATGGATCAGGGACCATGGGCCTGCCCTTGACGCTTGCAGAACCCAGATGACGGTCTCTCAGGGCTTGTGATGCTGCTCAGCATGTCCTGATGCTGCTCAGCAATGTCCTGAGGAAGGAGCCGGCTCACCCTGGGGCCGAAGGGGGTGGGCTGCCAGGCTGCTGGTGCCCACAGTCACAGGGAGCTTTGCGGGCAAATCCAGCTAGAAATGCCTCATGCGAGAGTCGCCCCTGCAGATTCACCAGGTGTGTTGCCACATCGAGCAGCGACGCGGCAGGGAAAGCCCAGACTCCGCCGTATGATGCATCCCTCACCCATCAAATGGGAATGCTAGCAACAGGGCCATTTATTCATTTGTTAGCTTATTCATCGATTGCGTAGATACAGTGTATTGGCTCTATGGATACACTGGTGAACAAGACAGACGTGGTGCTTGTCCTCAAGAAGCTGACATTCTAGAGGAATGTAAGCTACTATGGAAATGAGTGTAACGTGCTTAGCACAGTGCTCAGCACATAGTAAATGTACCGTAAGTGTGTCACCTTTAAAGACTCTGAGAAGTCCTACAACATCCATCTCTTAAGCCCAGGGCTTTCCAGATATCTTTGGCCATGAACTCTCCCCTTTCCACCCCCATAACACCCTAGCCCCATGCTGCAGTGCTCACTGGTCCATGGGAAATACATCAGAAATGCTGGTTTGGTGGATGTGGTCTCTATATGCACTTATACACAGAGACACACGAAGATACAGATACCTACTTTGGATGGATCTCAAACTAGTACTAGGGCTTAGAGGAGATGAGAACAGCTCACCTCTTGTTTCACTTTAAAATGGGCACATTTAGCCGGGCCTGTAATCCCGCGCCTTTGGGAGGCTAAGGTGAGTGGATTGCCTGAGCCCGCGGGTTCGAGACCCACCTGGGCAGCGAGACCTCATCTCTACAATAAAAAAAAAAAAATCAGCCGGGTGTGCATACCTGCAGTTCCAGCTATTTGGAAGGCTGAGGCGGAAGGATCGCCAGAGCCCAGCAGGTCGAGGCTGCGGTGGCCGGGAGCGGCCACTGCACTCCAGTCTGGGCAACAGAGTGAGACTCTAACTCAAAAAAAAAAAAAAAAAAATGGGCACATTTTATACCAGCCTTGTCTTGGAGAGTAGACAATGGTGCTCTCTCTGATGAGTTCTCTCTAAAGTCTCTAGGAGTCATCAATTGATCTACTCACCCAACAAACATTATGGTCACTTCCTTCATTCTGTGCTGCCTGCCTGGCATGGGGGACACAGATTTATCTGGTTCATAAAGAGATCTTTCTAGGCTGGGCGCAGTGGCTCAAGTCTGTAATCCCAGCACTTTGAGAGGCTGCGGCGAGAGGATTGCCTGAGCTTAGGGGTTTGAGACGAGCCTGGGCAACTAGGCAAGACCTCCTCTCTACAATAAATGAAAAATTAGCTGGGCATGGTGACACTTGCCTGTAGTTCCAGCTACTTGGAAGGCTGAGGCAGAAGGATCACCTGAGCCCAGCAGATCGAGGCTGTGGTGGCCATGAGCATGCCACTGCACTCTAGCCTGGGCAGCAGAGTGAGACTCCAACTCAAAAAAAAAAAAAAGAGAGAGAGAGAGAGAGATCTTTCTAATGCAACACGCAGGAGCAAGACATGCCCTGTGTATTGTGGCAGCCCAGAGGGAGGCTGCCTAGGGCCATCTGGGAAGGCTCCAGGAAGATGTGATGCCCAAGTTAAGTCTAAAAAGGTGAACAGAAGTTGAACCAGGAAAGGGGGCCTTCTAGGCACGGTGTTCCAGGAATCGGCCTGGTCTTGGCACTGACTCGTTGGGGTTAGAGTTGATCTTAGTTCCGAGAAGGGGAAGATATGAACTAAGATGCTCTAGCCCCCAGTGGGAGGAGTCAGACTGCCACAGGAATAATCCCCCCCCACTAGCATGTGACCTTGAGTAACTCACCCCCACCCCCACCCCGCAGCTTCATAGGTGAACAGGAACAGCCAAGCTCGCCTCACTGGGCAGAGAGGGAGCAAGCACTTTGTAAGCAGGTGCATTGTGAGCCGCCGGGCGCCGCACGCTGCAAAGCTCTGAGCATACGCAAATTCTCGGCTGCCTGTCTTAGCTCAGGGCCCAGCTCACAACAGGGCAGAAAGAATGGTAGAGCCAAATGATTCTGCCACCTTTGAGCTCTGTTCCTCTGGCTCTTGAAACCATCTTGATCTTCCTGAGGTCCCTTATTAATATGCCAACACCCCGAGAGGTGTTAATTCTTATTTGCTAATACCTTGGTGCTGGCACTTTCATTAGCAGTTAACACCTCTAGTTAGCAGCTAACTCCTTCACGGAATCTTCTGGCATTCAGCTGATTTCAGCCGAGAGAACTTCAGGAATGGGGCCAGAAGGAGCACAGGTGGCTTGGGACATGAAAGAGAAGAGGGGCTTGTGGGAGGAGACCATCCAGGAAGGCCGTCTCTGAAGAACTGTGTTGCCAAGGGCAAGTTCCATTGCCTTTCCATGAGACAGAACCCCCAGACAGCAGTGTCCAGAGTCATCTCTGGGCAAGCTGCCTGAGCATTACAAGCCTCCATTTCCTCCTCCATTAAATGGGAACATACTCAACCATACCTCTGGGGTCACCATGGCCAATGCCATGTTGCTCAAGTTTGCTGTGTACGTGTAGATGGTACACACACATCTTTCATCTTAACAGTAAACATTTGCATCCTTCAACTTAAAGAAAGTTCAGCTGCGGCAACAGATGCCCTCCCTCAAATCTCAGTGGCTCTGACAATACGTGTTTATGTTTTGCTCAGGCTTCAGGCCCGTCAAGGGTCTGCTTTGACTCTGCTCCATGTCATCATTCTGAGAACCAGAGGGAAAGGGCAGTCCCTGCCTGGAACACGCTGAGTCCACAGCAGCAGAAAGACCCACTGCAGAACCTCACAATGGCTTTCATTGCTCACATGCCCAGATGTGATGGTGATGAGGTGGGAAATGTAATCGGCAGAGGAGCAGTTGAGAAGGGGGGCAACGAGTATTCACAAGTAAGAATACAGTCTGGTATAGGATTTTACTTCAATGTGTATTAGAACAAGGTATAAGTGTGTATGTGTAGGTATGGAGAGGGAGAGAGAATGATAGAACAAGTGGGGCAAAATGGATTCAGTTGGCAGGTCTGGGTGAAGAGGTGTATGGACATTCTTTGCAATCTTTCTGTAAAGTTTAGAATAATGTGAAAATAAAAAGTTCCAAGTACATCTTTGTCTAAAAAATTTTTTTTAGATATAGGATCTTACTGTGATGCCCAGGCTGGGTGCAGTGGTGCAATCACTGCCTTGAATAAACTCCTGAGCTCAAGTTATTCCCCCCATCAGCCTCCTGAGTAGCTGGGACTACAGGTGCACACCACCACCCCTGGATAATTTTTTTTTAATTTGCAGAGATGAGGTCTTGCTATGTTGCCCAGGCTGGTCTTGAATTCCTGGCTTTCAGTAATCCTCCCACTTGGTCCCCCAAAGCACTAGGATTACAAGTATGAGCCAACAAATCCAGCTTCCCCATATATATTTCGTCTCTAACCATCATGCCCTGGATCTGATTATTTAAGGTGAGGCAGCTATAGAGAGGATAGAAATGAGTGGAGCTCATTTAAAGAATATTAATTAATAGTAGGACAGGTAGGACATTTGGGAAAGGAACTTGAAGAAGAGTTATTGGGTGTTCCAAGCACTTCCTCCAGGGGTCCTCCGGCTGGCAGTCCCCTTCCCGTTCATTTACTCTACACCTGTTTATTGAATACCTACTATGTGCCAGGTCCCTGCGGGGCATTGAGGATGCAATCATGAATGATACGTGGCACACACAGATCCTTCCTTGAGCCGCCCTCAGACTCATGGAGGTGTTGGAAGAGTAAGGCTCATGGCAGCGAGCACACCAGGAAGCCCAGGAGCCCAGTGCCAGCTGGGGTTGTACCTGCAGGGGACTTAGTGGCTCCCCAGGGGCAGTCGGTGTATGGGGAACCAGTTCATGTCTTGTGAGTCTGAGTTTCTCTATAGGGCACATGCGTGTTTCCAGGTCTACATGGCAGGGAGTGGGGGCAGGGGGTGGGGAACAGAGAGGCAGAGTCTGAGTCCACACTGCACACCCTCCTGGGATGCTCCTTTGTGGCCAAGATCTACTGGGGTTGGGAACCTATATTTTTATATTAATCATTTTTCTGATTTTTTTTTGAGGTCTCACTCTGTCACCCATGAGGTCTCACTCTGTCACCCACACTGAAGTGCAAGTGGCATGATCATGGCTCACCAAAGCCTTGACCTCCTGGGCTCAGACGATCCTCCTGCCTCAGCTTCCTGAGTGGCTGGGACTATAGGCGTCCACCACCATGTCTATTTATTCATTCATTTATTTATTGAGTTTTTGTAGAGACAAGGTCTCACCATGTTGCCCAGGCTGGTCTCAAATTCCTGGGCTCAAGCTACCCTCCTGCCTCAGCCTCCCAAAGTGCTGGGATTACAGGTGTAAACCACTGCACCCCAACCTACTTTTATATTAAAAACAACAGATGGACCGTGAAGGGGCACAGGACAACTTTTGAGGATGATAAAAATGTTCATTTTCTTGATCATGGTGGTGGTTATGTGGGTGTATACATTTCAAAATTCATTGAAATAAATCCTTAAAATGGGTAGATTTTATCATAAGTATTTTGCATCTTGATAAAGTTGATTCACAAAATAAAAAATAAAAACGAAGGAGTATGACACTTATGAATTCATTTTGAGAGGTTGAGTAACTTGCCCAGATCACAGAGCTGCTGAGGGGAGGAGCAGGAAATGAGATCCAGTGTGCCTGACTCCAGAACCGGTGCTGTTAGCTGTGGTGAACACACACCTTTCATTTCCTTATCCACTTGAGCAAAAGCAGCCTCCATTTTGAAGGGTAATATCCAACAGTTCAAAATCTGTCCCTGGAATGAAGGCTTCAGAATTAGAAAGGAATTAAGTGGCCCTGGAGTTCCACATCCCTCTTCCTCTGCCCCAGACGAGCGTAGATGCCCTGGGTTTTGACCTCAGTTGAGCTCTGGCCTCTCGAGGGCTGCCCTGGAAACTTCCATCTGTCAAAACTCCACCAGTCTCAGCCTCTCCCCCTTTCTGCCCTGGTCCTGGGGTTTCTGAAGCTCTGCCCACGCTGTTCTGCCCCTTCAGAACGTCCTTGTGTTGTCCTTGCTACTTATTCCCCTACAGTCTGGGAGGCCAGGAGAGACTCTTTGGTCTGGGTGGGAAGCACGGACCAGCTGAGAGGGTTTACCTTACCAGGGGCCCACTTGACAGATAAAGCCAGTGGCTCTGGGCGCAGGCACAGCCTCAGGTCCCACAGTCTGCACGGTTAGAGCTGGAGTCCCAGCCAGGGCTGCCTAGTTCCAGGCCCTGAGCCCTGCCTTGCCCAGGAGACAGGGGGAAACCAAGTCTTGGGGCCGGGGCGGGGGTGGGCGGGGGGGGGGGGGTGGGAAGTCCCTTGCAGACTCCCCTCCTTCCAGAACTGACTCTGCTCTGTCAACAGCTGCAAAAACCCCAGTCCCCGAAGGGACGGAGCTGCCGGGGCCTCTTGCCGAGTGACTGCAGACCACATTTTTCTTAATCTAAATTGAAAACTGCTCAAGTAGAAAAATCATTTCAGTGCTTCATCTCAGAAGGGAAAAGAAGAAGGGAGATGGAGACGGGAGGGGTGGGGGCCAGAGGCGAACGGCTGTGGCTGGAGGGGGCTGAGTGCCTGCACACCCTGAGCCTGGCCCTGGCCGGCTTGCCCTGGGGCCCAAGGGAGTGGGCTTCCAGGTGGCTGGTGCCAGCAGTCAGAAGTACTGACAGCTCCACCGTGCACAAGCAGGACTGGTGTGGCCCCGGGACGACGAATCCCTGCGGGACATAGCTCCTGTCTGTAAGGTGCTTCTAGTTCCTGTTCCCATCTCCCCCATTCCTTCCTTCAGCAGATATTCACTGAACATCTTCCCTGTGTCTGGTACTGTTCCAAATGCAGGCAATACAAAAATCGCCCTTGCCCTCCTGGAAAGCACCGTCTGGGAGGGAAGACACATTATCCAATAAACAGAGAACAACAAACTGAATTCAGCTCTGAAGGAACAGGGGGGCCAGTTGAGTGATATTCTCTAGGCTGAGGAGGGAAACGTGACTCAGGCTGGGCAGTCAGGGAGAGTCTCCTGGCGGAAGTGCCGTTTCAGCAAAGGCCCAAGAGTGACTAGGAGGTCTCCAGGCAAAGGCAGAGGTGGAGACAGTGGTGGGAGCGGGCTAGCGCCTCAGGACAGAAGGAAGTACTGGGGAGGGTAGACTCTTCAGCGAGGGTGACTGGGTTCAAATCTCAGTTCTGCCACTAGCCTTCTGTGTGACCGTGGACAAGTTACCTAATCTCTCTGTCTTAATTTCCTCGCTTGCAGACATCAAATTACTGTGAAGATTAGGTGGTTTTACACACATCATATGTTTGGAACAGTGTCTGGCACAGGATGTTTAAGCAAGCAAAAAAAAGACCCAGCATGTGCAAAGGCCCAAGGGCAGGAACTGCAAAGTGCATCTTGGAAAAAAGGTCTGTGAGCAAGCTTTATCCTGAGGCAAACAGGCTGGGCATGCGCGGCAGAACGCCACGGTGTCAGCGGAAAGAATGTAGGCTGAAGTCCTGTGTCTGCCAGGTGATCCCAGCAAACCTGTGCCAGAATGTCACTTACATAACCCCACAACCTTGGGAAGAACCATGCTTTTCCTCACTTTACAGATGAGCAGACTGAGGCCCAGAGAGGCCCAGTGGCTAATCCAAGGCCACACAGCTGGGCCGAGCCCAGGTTTGGCTGACTCAAGTCTAAGTTCCTGACCGCTGTGCTCTACTGCCTCAATTCTGAGACGTGAAAGATGTGACATCTGTGTCTAGGTTTGACTATTTGTTGAGCACATGCTATGTGTTGCATCCTGGGCGAGGCGTGTCACACAGAAAGCAATTTATAGGATGCAGCCTAGGTAGGGTGGTCATATCTTATTTTCCTGAACGGGATCACCCTGTGCAGCGAGGGGGTACTCCCCATACTTACACCAGGGCAGCATGTGTGCACTGGGACCCAGGGTCACTCGAGCATGGGGCAGGTGATCAGAGCATGCTGTCAGGTAGAGCTGGCTGACTCAGTGCCCTTGGGAGGTCACTCAGCTTCTCTGAATCTCAGTTTCCCCATATTGGGGTCATTGTGCCTAGCTCTTGAAGTTGTGAGGCTTAAGTGAGACAATGGGAGGACAGACAGTGAGCACAGAGGCTGGTACGGAGTAGGCCTCAGTGACTGCTGGACATTGTCACTGAGTACTCAGTACTCGATCGATGGCATTCTCTCCATCCCTGTCTCTCTCCACCTCTACCTTTCTCTGTCTCTCTCTGTCTCTCTCCAACTCTCCTCCTCCATCTCTCTCTGTTTTTCCATCTCTCTTTGCCTCTCTGTCTCTGTCCATCTCTCTCTGTCTCTTTTCATCTCTCTCTCTTTCTGTCTCTCTCTCTCCATCTCTTTCTATTCCTCTCCATGTCTCTTCATCTCTCTCTATCTCTCTCTCTGACTCTCTCTCTCTCTCCATCTTTCTCATCTTTCTCTCACTCCATCTCTCTCTTTATCTCCATCTCTCTGCATCTCTCTTTGTCTCCATCTCTCTCTGTCTCTCTCCATCTCTGTTTGTCTCTCCGTCTCGCTCTCTTTCTGTCTGTCTCTATACCTACCTCCCCTTTTCTTAGCTGCCCCCCATTCTCCCCTGCCCCTTCCTGGACCCAGGCCAGGGTTGCTGTGTGCCCTTGGGCAAAAGTCCCTTCCAGAAGGTCTCTGAGCCTGCTCTCCCCATGCAACTGGTCTGCTTCAACAAGGCTGAGGGGTCCCGCCTCTCCTCCCTTCCTCCCTTGGCCAGCCCCCCTCCCCCACCAGCCATCCCCAGACTCATTTTACAGGTCAGTTCCCTTTAATGAGTGGGGCTCTGAGCCTTTTCCCTCACAAAATGGAAACTGCAGGTTCATCAAAATCTCATTAACCTCCATTGTCCCGGTGGCCCTGCGGGGGTCAGCCTGTCTAGGGCTGGGGGCACCACCTCCTAGCGGACCAGGGTCTGGGTCTGTCTGGGGCTGGGGGTGGTGGGGCTACTGGTGTGCTGTTTCTAGACAATATTCAAGCCACAGCACCGAGCCTGCCAGCCCTGGCCACCGGGTGTCAGAGGAGAGAGGGCGC